TATATATATATGTATAGATTGCAGGATTTATATCATGATCATGGAATAGGCTGTGCTATGCTAATTACGATTCTGTAAACCCGACAAAGACCTGAACTTCTAACCCGATGTGGTCCAATCGCATCGATTTAACCCAAGCTACTGCAGTGGCAAATCCCAATGGCGAAGAGATGTCGTTGGAGCTTCGAAGGATCACATCATATGTCTGCCTGGGACGATCAACCCATCAATCATGTAACTCCCTTTCAAGGCTTCGGAATTCTAGCTGCTTCGAAGCTGCGCTCGATAGCCGTGGTCCCTGAAACATCTAGATAGCTTGCAGCTTCCAGAATAAAGCTCCAGTACATCGAGATCGCGGCGCCACAAGGCACGACCATTGACATCCATAGCCGCGATGTTGGTCTGGGTCACGTAGTCGCACAAGCTCAGCCTCGCAACATTATATTGCAATTGCGATTGGACCGTAGCAGAAGCAGCCACCTATTACAAAAAACAGCCCTTGCAATCTCAAAACCGATATCGTCCGAATTCTGATTTGCAGACCCAGTACACAACAAGTGGAACTCTCATCGCCATCAACATCTGAGCTCTTGTGCTGCTCAGGTAAATAGGAGGCGACTGCGGCGGGGGCACCATCATCATGATGAGGAGGCCAGATCGCTGTAATATATTAAATTGGCAAAATCGAAAAGCCCTGGGCCCCTTTAGGATTGTGCATATACCCCAGCTAGATCATGCGGTACAGACATGAACCTGCACAGGTCTCTAGTCGACTGTCTATATATAGGCTAGATCTAGATAACTTCGAGAACACACCTGCAGCATACAGTCCAGCTGCAACTTGCACAGACACGTGCTGCAACTCTGGCAATGGGGTTTAGGGTTTTAAAGGGCTTAGGGTTTATTAGGGTGTATATACGGATGATGAACATTACATCTCACAGTCTCACACTCATGACAGGGGTATACAGCCATACTCGCTCGATCGTGATTTCATCACGGGTCAATGCTGCACGCTTGCATCGACGTGTAACATCGGATCGAAGATTTCGGAATGGAACCTTAGCAGCAGTCTAGTTCTGTTAGAGGCCATGTAGATTCATGATTGACATGTGTACTCATCCAATCGTTGCAGTCTAGAGGCTCCCGCATAGATCAAGGCCCCGTGATCACCCCAGGCCCTCCTGAAGTTGGCACATCTATTAATTTAATTCAATTCATGTATATACTGAACATTGCAATTGCGGTCCTAGTAAAGGGCGGCAATGAAGCATCCGAATTGAGTCCGGGTGAGCCGGCTTAAGTTCCTGAGTAAGCATTGGATGCAGGGTCCAACATGCAGAAATTAAATTTGAAAGTTTCCATCAGAAATTTAGGATAATGAAAAATAGTAATTAGGGATTAAAATTTAGGGCTTAGTACAGCTAGAGGGTTATATAAATTAAAACTAGTGTGGGTTATGAATGATGGCTAGGATTCAGAGTGGTCGAGCACACTTCTGGGCCATCTTCCACGTAGCCATCCAGCCGCCGTATTTGCGAACGCTCAGAGTGGATCCCCCCTTCTTGTCGATCTTGATCTCTGGATCTTTCAGTCCCCGGGATTTCTTCACATACACACTTCCATCTTTCCACTCAATGGTGGCACGGGAATCACTGCCAGGGACCGTTGCTGTGAACGACAAGCGCTCACCCTTAAAGCCAGGCGGCGCCTCGATGTTCGCCCGCTTGAGATCCACAGCCTTAATTAGTTTTCAATGTAGCGAGTCATAGTCATATATATGCAGCATTATTACAATTTATATTTTAATTGCAATGCAAGTTAAGCTGCAACCTGCTCCCATTCGCAACGCTGTTCCACGTTTTTTTTGTCCTCCTCGGCCGTGGGGGCCGCGGCTGCTGCATCTGCTGTCGCTGCCGCTGCTGCTGCTTGCTGCTTCTTGGCCTTCGGCCCGGCTGCCTTTGTTGACATGTCCTTCACGACTGCGGGGCCGTTTTTTTGCTTTCTTTGCTAGCCTTGCTTTCTGCTTTCTTTGTTTTTTTGTAGCTGCTTTTGCTTTGGCCGCGGCCGCAATCTGAGCTCATGCAGTAGGTGTCGTAGCTGTGCGGGAGCAGCATATACGGTGTACATGTATACGTACTAATTAAAGCCAAATAGCCCGTCGCTGGGCTTCTACCAAATCGCATGCTTCATCATCCTTTTGCTCCAAAAGCTGCGACTGCAACTCAGCTTGCTGCACAAGCTGCTCCGGCATGTCCGCAGGTCGGACATGCACAGGAGCCCGTTTCTCCTCGGGCCCAATTTCGATTTCGATTCGGGCTTAATTAGGGTGTAGAGTTTCTAGGGTTATGGTTACTATCGACTTCTGCTATAGCCAGGAGGGATCAATCATAGCTACAGTATACATATGATATTAGTATCCTACTTATTGGATATATAGAGGGCGTTTTGTTTAATATTATATATATATATATACATATATATATATTAGGTGGCTTCTTGAGGCTCAGAAATTTGAAGGGCATTACTGGGCTTCGAAGACCGAATATAAGATCAAGCAAGCAACTGGATAGCGAAAAACGTAGATGAACAAGTTAGGGTTTAGGGTTTTAGGGTTTAGGGTTTAGGGTTTTAGGGATTATTTAGGGTTTTAGGGTTTAGGGTTTTAGGGTTCAGGGTTTAGGGGGTTTAGGGTTTTAGGGTTTAGGGTTTAGTCGGCTTGCAAATTTGAGGGTTGTTCGAACAGGCTAAGCCAGCACTAGAGTACTGGCCTGGATCCTCGCACCCACCAATAACTCCAAATACGTATTAAAACCCACGAGAAACCCCTAAGCAATAATATATTCTTTTTCTAGATCTAGCTATAGACTGCCGACCCCACATACAGCAGGCCCGGCCTGCGCTGCCTGGCGTCGATCTTCCGGCAGCTGAGGCTCCGGGGCTGGGGCGAAACTCTGGACTTTTGAGGTCACGTTCGGTACGATGGCAAGCTCCAAGATGTTTACAGGCTGAGTTTCCATAGTCGAAGGGTCCAGACTCTCCAGGGCAGGCTCAGCCTAGGGCAGCTAGCGCTTCAATAAAATTTGAGCGACATGAAAGTCATCACATCTATTGCGCAGACAGTAATCGATCTAGACAAAGGCCCAGCGACGTGCATTTTTAGTGGCGACGGCTCCATGGTATCCAGGTCCATCTCCAAAGCCTGCATAACACTATTACAAAACCATAAATTCCGCCCGGATTAGCACACGATCGACTGAACGGCTGAGCACCTGCTTGCCAGGCGTCTCCATCATCATCTCTCCGTCGGCCTGATGGGCAATGATGGGTGTCGGGGGTTTTCGGGGGTTCATTAACATATTAAAGGATCTGTATATGTCTAGATGTTTTCTAGATATATATATATATATGATCTAAATTAAATGGCGATCGCGAGTACATGTATACATGTACATGATCAGACAAGACACCAGATTGTAGTATAGATGGAGCCGCACAAGAAGATCGACAGACAGGCTTATTTTGATATGTATATGTAGATTAGAATAGACATAGCTACAGTGATTTGCTACATGTAGATAGATGCCATGTTGCAACCCGAAACCCTTTCGGCTATATATATGTGCAACCGTATACTACTCCAATATGTGCACATATCCATATACCCATCGAATATTAAAATTATATAAATACCCGTAGTTAGATATCCTATCTCTTGACATGTTAGCTTCTCAAGGCTATGTTGTCTTAGACCTGTGATCTGTTTGTGTTTTGGGGCCAGGAGGTATAGACTAGCAGCTTTTATAGTCTTTAATTCGTTTATGCAGATTTCGCAAGCGCCTCGCAGAGCTTGCCCGGAGACATGGACATATAGCTGGAGCCTGTATCCTCGGCGAAAATTAGTCTTAAAAGCCATTGCTATGCAACGATCGTTTGCTATCGCGATAGCTGATGAGTGCAGTTACCCCAGCTCGGCGGCAGCAAGTTTATTGGAGCTAAGTTTCCACACTTCCGTTGTCCTCAGCACCCACTGCATTCTCGTAGGCATTCTCAATCATGTCATCGAGGCCGTCCGGACCTACAGGTGTGCATTATTAGCAGAGATTAGAATTTAAAGTTACCCGCATGAACTGTACATGTAGCGATGAACCTTACACGTGGCACCTGTAGCTTCCTCTGCAACAGCACGGATCATAGCCTTCAAAGACATGATCTGAGGGATCCTTGGAAAGTCATGGGGTGATTGAAGGCTAATTAGCTCACGAAGCCTTTAATTTGTAAATCCGAGCTTCTTAGCACCTTTCGACCGCTTGCTCAAGAAGAGTCCGTGGCAAGCAGCCGTACGCATCACTGCCGCTTCCCCGTTCGCCCACTCCTGGTGGCGCTTGCGATCTCACTAGATCTAGACACAGCTAGCTGGATTGCAGCGAGACAAAAAAAGCCAAGGAATACAAGACTTGATCATGACTGCTAGATCTCCTTCAGCATCTTAGCCTTGCAGCTGGTGCCAAGCAGGCAATATCGCTTGGCGAGCACCATAATCACTTCCTGCAGTCTATCCACTGTTTACATGTAATACTTATATTTGATGACTCCAAATCCGGATATGGCCTGGTGAACAGAAAGCAGAGGCACCGTGGCCCCCAGCGAACCGTAGTATCCACACCAGAAGGCGTAGTGCTGCAACAACTGGCAGGGCCAGCACATGCATCATGATCATGCACACATACATGTACACAACATGGTACACACTCGCTCAGCCCGCCATCTCTGTGCTGTCCGCTCCCTGCTTCACCATTCCCAACATACACTTGGCCTGAGTTGCCATAGCTGCACACGTTTATGCATATATGTATTCTCGAATCTTTAAAATATAAATAAATTGTGATCCACGACACCTTCCGGATGCTGGGCAAGCGGTTGGGGTCGGAGGTGAGCCACTCATTGAGAAAATCCTTTTCGATTTGTTTTATGGGTACCGGTTAAACTGCGAACTGCATGTTAACCAACGGCACATATACTGTCCTCGAGGATGAGCTTGTGCAGTTGCTTCTCCTCGGCCGAAATCATGACCTGCAGATGTGATTTTCCCATAGATATTAATTATATATGTATGTATGCATATGCATTAGCTGCTGGCCTGTCAAGCCGCCACCGGCTATATAGCAAAATGCTGGCCGGATCAAAAAGTGAAACAGCTTTCGGAGATCACATTTCACAGTAAGCGCATCCACAGCAATTATGACATGTCGAATCACGAACACAAGCCTTTAAAGCACATACAGTGCGCAGCATGCAGAGAGGCTGGGGGGTCGCACCGGTGCACTGCCAAGCCGGGTCATCCGGACAATTATCGATATCATCATAATCGACAGGGGAACCATCAATGCCAGCAGCTGCAGCAGCTACTCTCCTTGGCAGTGGGGACCTTGATCTCGGTCCCAGCCCTGTCCCAGGGGTCTCGTTTGGAAACTCGTCCAGCAGACCTGGATCAACACACCATGATCATG